AAAAAAAAAAAAAAAAAAGTTTTTAGCCAGATGCAGTGGCACATGCCTGAAGTTCCAGCTACATGGAAGGCTGAGGCAGGAGGATAGCTTTAACCTCAGGTTGCAGTGAGTTGTGATCACATCACTGCACTCCATTCTGGGTAACACAGCACACAGCGAGACTCTTTTTTTTTTTTTTTTTTGAGACGGAGTTTCGCTCTTCTTGTTCAGGCTGGCGGGCAATGGCGGGATCTCAGCTCACTGCAACCTCCGCCTCCTGGGTTCAAGGAATTCTTCTGCCTCAGTCTCCCGAGTAGCTGGAACTACAGGCATGCACCACCATGCCCAGCTACTTTTGTATTCTTAGTAGAGGTAGGGTTTCACCATATTGGCCAGACTGGTCTGGAACTCCTGATCTTGTGATCCACTCATCTCAGCCTCCCAAAGTGTTGGGATTACAGGCGTGAGCCCCTGCGCCTGGCCAAGAGCCTCTCTCAAAAAAAAAAGGTTTCCATAAAGCACCGTGTAAATATTAAATATAATAGAAACGATTTTTAATTCAAGATAAATAAAAAGTTGTAATTTTCCCTTTTTTAAAGGCACCGTATAAACTTGAGTTCAGACTTCTTGATTACTCCTGATTTCTACTGGGACAGAGAAAACCTGGAAGAGCTTTACGATAAAACATGTCAATTCCTTAGCATTGGCCGAAGGGTTAAGGTATGTATTTTGTACTTTTATACATCAAAGGATCTTCTGATTTTAGCTTCACAGACTATAAGGTCGATGAATAAGATGAGAGTTTGGAAACCTAAAGGTCCATTAGGAAGTTCTTATCAAGTTTCATACAAGAGTCCCTGACTGCTCCTGATCTAGGCCTTGAAGAAGGAAGAATAAAGGATGACTGATGTTTGCCTGGAGGTGACAAGTAGAAAGGTGGCAAAACAATGAGAGGTCAGAGAGGGGAGGTGACAGACTAAATCTGAGATATGCTGAGATTAGAGTAGCAGCAGGATAATCCAATTAGTTCCATCATGCCGGCATATAGAAGGGCAGAAGCAAAGTCAAGAAGAGAGACATGTATCAAGGTATAGTGATGGGCCCAGGCGCTGTGCCTCATGCCTGTAATCCCAGCACTTTGGAAGGTCGAGGCAGGCAGATCACCTGAGGTCAGGAGTTCAAGACCAGCCTGGCCAACATGGCGAAACCCTGTCTCTACTAAAAATACAAAAATTAGCCAGGCATGGTGGTATGCACCTGTAGTACCAGCTACTCAAGGAGACTGAAGCAGAAGAATCACTTGAACCCAGGAGACGGAACTGAGGTCGTGCCACTGCACTCCAGCCTGAGTGACAACATGAGACTCTGTCTCAAAAAACAAAAAAACCGAAAAGACAAAATGTTTTATCACCACACATTCTCCGTCATGCTTCCCTGTGCAGTCATACCACCCTCCCCCTCCCCGGACTGTCCCTAACCCCTGGCCGAGTAATCTCTTCTCCATCTCCATAATTTTATCATTTTGAGGATGTCATAGAGTCATACAGTATGTGACTTTTTAGCTGGCTTTTCTCACCATAATGCCCTCAACTTGGATCCATGCAGGTTGTTACTCGTATCAATTCCCGTCTTCCTGTGGCTCCTGAAACATTTTTTTGGTATTTCATTTTGATGTTATTTTTTTAGTATATCTCTTTGCATAGATATTTAGTAGTTGCTCTGGTTATTACATCATATGTATATAACTTACTACATTCTACTGATTTCAACATCTTGCAGATTAAATGAAGTGTAGAATCTTTATTTCCCTAATGGATGATTGGATGCAGAAAAGAAAATCCTTATTTCTTTTATATTCCTTTATCCTTCCCTGTTTATAATTGTCTTAACTATTCTTCTGCAGACATAGAAACCTTCATTAGATTATGTTATAATTTTTGCTTAGCCCATAAAATATAACTTAGAAAACTAAGAAAAGTCTGTTGTATGTACCCATGTTTTTATTCTTTCTGTTCTTTTTTCCTTCTGATCTTCTAAGATTTCTTTTACTGTTTTTTTTGTGTGTGTGTGTTTTCAACAACATTATTTAGCTATTCTTTAAAGGTAAGTCAGACAAATTTTCCTAGTTTGTCTTCATCTGAGAATGTCTTAATTTTCTCTTCATTCCTGAAGAATATTTTCCTAGAAATAGGATTCTGGGTGGACAGTTTTCTTTCTTTCAGCACCTGAAAAATGCTGTGTCACTTCCTTCTGACCCCCATGGTTTCTGATAGGAAACCTGTCATAATTCTGTGACATTTATGTTTTATCTTTTATAATTTCACAAGTCTTTGAGGCTCTGTTCACTTCTTCTCCAGTATATTTTCTCTCTGTTAAGATTGGGTAATTTCCTTTGTCTGATCTTCTAGTTAATTGATTCCTTCCTCTGTTACCTTCATTTTGCTGCCCATCGAGTTATTTTATTCATTGTACTTTTCACTTTTAAAATTTCCATGTTTTCTTCTTTGTATCTTCTGTTTCTTTGCAGACTCCCTACTTTTTCATTTGTTTCAAGTGTGTTCAGAATTGCTTGTTGAATCGTGTTTATGATGGTTGCTTTAACATCATCTGATAATTCTAACATCACATACCTCTTGACATTAGTATGTACTGATTGTCTTGTCTTCTTCCTCCAGTTTCTCTCATTGCCTCAAGTGTTCTGGCTTGATATACAGGGTCCTTTCTGTTGTATCCGTTTTTCAATCATATTTCCTACCAAATCCCCACATTCATTCACCTTGTATCTCATCAAAAATAAATGATTAGCCTGGGAAACAGTGAGACCTCATTTCTACTGAATGTTTTTTTTGTTTTGTTTTTTGTTTTTTTTTTAAATTAGCCAGGTATAATAGCATGTGCCTGTAGTCCCAGCTACCTGGGAGGCTAAGGCAGGAGGATTGGTTTAGTCCAGAAATTTGAAGCTACAGTGAGCCATGATCATACCACTATACCCCAGTCTAGGCAACAGAGCAAGACCCTGTCTCAGAAAAATAAAAGATTTATAATTTCAAAGACCATGGTTCATTGAATGCTATAGTCACTTTAGCATCTGCATTTTTTTTCCTCTAATCTAGACACCACCCTTTTCAAAACCACAGCAAAGGTATCCGCAGTTGTCACTGATCTTGGTACCACCTGTTCCTCTGTAGGTGTCTTCCAGCACAGGACAGTAGAGGTCATCACCACTGGTCAGGGCAAGAAAACCAAGCTATGTTGCTTTTAGCTGACACAGAAAGATTGATTAGTGATGGTTTAAGAATCAAATTTAGTGGACTCCATCAACATAGTTTTAGATACCAAAGGTCTAATTAGACACCGATTTGACAGTTCAGTCATCTCGTCAGATATGAAAAGCACTGGACTTTCCTGGTTGTCGACTGTGCACACAGGCAGAAGATCTAGAGGAGGTAAGGGAGGGATACGAAAAGCTTTATACAGATGAGATATTTCCTGTGATTGTGACAGCTACTGCTGTGTAACAAATTACCCCAAAACTTACCGGCTGGATGCAGTGGCTCAAGCCTGTAACCCTGGCACTTTGGGAGGCCGAGGCAGGCGGATCACTTAAAGCCAGGAGTTCAAGACCAGCCTGGCCAACATGGCGAAACCGTTTCTACTAAAAATACAAAAATTAATCTGGCATGGTGGTGCACACTTATAGTCCCAAGTAGCTGGGAAGCCACTCGGGAGGTTGAGGCACGAGAATCACTTGAACCCAGGAGGCAGAGGTTACAGTGAGCTGAGATTGCACCTCCGCACTCCAGCCTGGATGATAGAGTGAGACGCCATCTCAAAAATAATAATAAAAAGAAACACCACTTAATATTTCAGTTTTTGTGGGTCAGGAATCGGTATGGTTTAGCTGGGTCCTCTGACTCTGCATTTCTCACAAGGCTGGAGTCATCCCAAGGATTCACTTCCTAGTTCAGTTGTGGTTATTGGCTGGACTTGGCTCCTCTCAGGCTATTAGATTGAGGCCTCAGTTCCTCATAAGCTGTTGTCCAGAGCCCTCTCGCAGCTCCTTGCCACAGAGGCTCCTCCATAGAGCATCTCACAGCGTGGCAGTGTGCTTCATCAGAATGAGCAAGTAGGGGAGTGATATGGTTTGCATCTGTGCCCCTGCCCAAATCATGTGTTGAATTGTAATGTTCTATGTTAAAGGTGGGTCCTGGTCGGGGGTGACTGGATCATAAGGTAGATTTCTCTTAAGTGGTTTAACCCCATCCACTTGGTGCCATTCTCATGATAGTTCTCTCGAGGTTGTTTGAAAATTTGTAGCACCTGCATCTCCCCTTGCTTGCGCTCTCTTGCTTCTGCCATGTAAGCTACCTGCTCTCCCTTCACCTTCCACCATGACTGTAAGTTTCTAGAAGCCCCCCCAGAAGCCAAGCACATGCCAGCATTATGCTACCCTGTACAGCCTGCAGAACTGTGAGCCCATTAGGCCTCTTTTCTTTATAAATTACCCAGTCTGGGGTATTTCTTTATAGCAATGAGAGAATGGACTAATAATGAGAGCAAGAGAGATTGCAGGAAGAGAAGGCTAGTAAAACAGAAGTCACAGTCTTTTGCAACCTAATCACACAAATGACATCCCATCATTTTTGCTGTGCTCTCTTTGTTAAAAGCAAGTTAGGGCCAGGTACAGTGGCTCATGCCTGTAACCCTAGCGCTTTGGGAGGCTGAGATGGGAGGATCACTTGAGGCCAGGAGTTTGAGACCAGCCTGGTCAGCATAGTGATACCCCATCTCTTAAAAAAAAAAAAAATTTTTTTTTAAAGCAAGTTATGGAAGTTATGGCTAGGCACAGTGGCTCACGCCTGTAATCCCAGCACTTTGGGAGGCCAAGGTGGGTGGATTACCTAAGGTTAGGAGAACAGCCTGGCTAACATGGTAAAACCGTTTCTACTAAAAATACAAAATTAACTGGGCATAGTGGTGGATGCCTGTAATCCCAGCCATTTAGGAGGCTGAGGCAGAAAAACTGCTTAAACCCTGGGGGAGCAGAGGTTGCAGTGAGCCGAGATCGTGCCACTTCACTCCAGCCTGGGTGAAACAGTGAAACTCCCATCACAAAAAGGAAAAAAAAGCAAGTTACTAGGTCCAGCCTACTCTTGAGGGCAGTGGATTACACACAAGTGAACACCAGGAGGTAGGGAGTCTTTGGGTGTCATCTTAGAAATCTGCCTGCCACAGTGGTTTTGAAAAAGGAGAACATTCTAGAATCCTACTTTATGACCACTGACCCACATGGTCCTCATACTACCAATTACTTTAATAGTTAGTTGACAGGTGCAGGTCATAAAGATGGTGGAACCATTGTTGATCTCATTGTGTTCTGAATTTAGCAAGCCAAATGCCACTGCTCTTGGCTTGGACAAGAACATTAATGCCAAAATTAATGTTCTGATCTTTGACCCTGGTGGCATTTTTTATCTGTCCATCCTCAGTGTTCAAGATGGTATTACTGAAATCATGTCTACAACTAAGGATGCCCACCTGAGTGAAGGATGCCTTGACAACTAAGTGGTCAGCTGCTTCATGGCTAAGATCAACAGCAGGTATAGAAAGGACACCCGGGAGAACAAGCAGGCTGCCCAGGCCCCTTCTGCCTCTACTGAATGTACTCTTCATTCTGGTATCGAGGCCAGTTTGAGATTGAGTCTCCCCGTGACGGGTTC